ACATTAAAAACAAAGAAAGAATCTTAAAGAAAGCAAGAGAGAGACAGAAAGTTACCTACAAGGGAGCTCCCATTAGACTGTCAGCTGATTTCTCAATAGAAACACTGTAGGCCAGAAGGGAGAGTCATGAAGTACACAAAATAATGAAAGGCAAGGGTCTGAATCCAAGACTACTCTATTTAGCAAGACTATCATTCAAAATTGAAGGAGAAATAAAGAGCTTCACAGACCAAAAAAAGCTAAAAGAATTTACCACCACCAAACCAGCACTGCAAGAAATGCTGAAGGGGCTATTGTAAGAAGGAGAAGAAACAGACAGAAAAAGAGGAACACAGACATAAAATAAGAATGGCAACTAATAAGTATTTATCAAAAATAACCTTAAATGTAAAGGGCTTAAATGCTCCAATCAAAACACATAGGGTTGCTGATTGGATCAGAAAAAATGAACCATATATATGCTGTCTACAAGAGATCTACAACACAACAAAAGACACACACAGGATGAAAGTGAAGGGATGGCAAAAATTTTTCAAGAAAATGGAAATAAAAGAAAAAGTTGGTGTAGCAATACTCATATCTGATAACATAGACTTCAAAATGAGAGCCATAATAAGAGACAAAGAAGGTCACTACATAATATTAAAAGGATCAATCCAAAAAGAGGATATAACCCTGGTAAACATATATGCACCAAATATAGGAGCACCAAAATATATTAAAAAATTTCTGGAGGACTTCAAGGGAGAGATCAATAGCAATACAATCATAGTGGGTGATTTGATCACCTCACGGACACCACCAGATAGATCTTCTAGACAAAATATTAACAAGGACACAGAGTCCTTAAATGACAAACTAGATCAGTTGGACTTCATTGATATATACGAAACATTTCCCCCCAAAGCTGCACAATATACATTCTTCTCATGTACGCATGGGACTTTTTCAAAGATAGACCACATGTTAGGACACAAAGTAAGTCTCTACAAATTCTAGAAGATTGAAATCATATCAAGCATCTTCTCAGATCACAATGGCATGAAACTAGAAATCAATTACAACAAAAACACTCAAAAACATTAACACACATGGAGGCTAAATAGCATGTTATTAAACAACAAATGGGTTACCATGGAGATCAAGAAATAAATTAAAAACTTCCTGGAAACCAATGAAAATGAACACACAACAACACAAAATCTATGGGACGCAGCAAAAGCAGTCCTGAGAAGTAAGTTCATAGCACTATAGGCCTACCTCAAGAAAAAAAGAAAAATTCCTAATTGACTTTCTAACCCTACAACTTAAAGAACTATATGCTAACAAATTGGACAATCTCGGTGAATGGACAAATTTCTAGAAGCACCCAGTCTCCCAAAACTAAACCAGCAAAAGATAGAAAACTTGAACAGGCCAATAACAACTAAGGAAATTGAAGATGTAATCAAGACTCTCCCAGCAAACAAAAGCCCAGGCCCAGATGGCTTCACAGGGGAGTTTTACCAAACATTCAAAGAAGATCTAACACCCATTCTCCTCAAACTATTAAAAAAAATCCAAGAAGATGGAAGGATTCCAAACTTGTTTTATGAGGCCAGCATAATCCTAATTCCAAAACTGGATAAAGACATTACAAAGAAAGAAAACTATAGGCCAGTATCACTGATGAACACAGATGCCAAAATTCTTAACAAAATATTAGCAAATCGGATCTAGCAATATATCAAAAAAAATCATTCATCATGACCAAATGGGATTCATCCCAGGAATGCAAGGATGGTATAATATTTGCAAATCAGTAAATGTGATACACCACATAAACAAAAAGAAAGATAAAAACCATATGATTATATCAATAGAAACTGAAAAAGCATTTGACAAAATCCAGCGCCCATTTCTGATAAAAACGCTCAGCAATGTGGGAATAGAGGGATCATATCTTAACATAATAAAGGCTATATATGAAAAACCTACAGCCAACATCATATCCAATGGGCAAAAACTAAAAGCTTTTCCCTTAAGAACAGGAACAAGACAAGGATGCCACTTTCGCCACTCTTATTCAACATAGTACTGGAAGTCTTAGTTACAGCAATTAGACAGGAGGAAAAAATAAAAGGGATCCAAATTGGAAAAGAGGAAGTGAAACTGTCATTATTTGCAGATGATATGATATTGTACATAAAAAACCCGATAGACTCCATAAAAAATCTATTAGATTTAATAAATGAATTTGGCAAAGTAGCAGGATACAAAATTAACATCAAGAAATCAATAGCATTCTTATACACCAACAATGAACTCACAGAAACAGAAACTAAAAAAGCAATCCCATTTACCACTGTGGCAAAAAATTAAGAAACCTAGGAATAAACTTAACCAAAGAAGTAAAGGACCTCTTCACAGAATACTACAGATCACCGAAAAAAGAAAAATAGAGGAAGATATAAAAAGTGGATGCATATACCTTGTTCATGGATTGGAAGAATTAACATCATTAAAATGTCCATACTACTCAAAGCAATCTATAGATTCAATGTATTCCCCATCAAAATACCAACAACATATTTCACATATATGGAACCAAAACCCCCCGATTGTTGCTACAGCAATCTTGAAAAAGAAGAACAAAGTAGGAGGGATCACAGTACTGGATATCAGGTTATACACAAAGCCACTGTAATCAAAACAGCCTGGCACTGGCACAAGAACCGGCATATAAATCAATGGAACAGAGCAGAGAACCCAGAAATTGACCCAAGTCATTATGCTCAATTAATATTTGACAAAAGTGGCAAGAGCATACAGTGAAGTAAAGACAACCTCTTCAATAAATGGTGTTGGGAAAATTGGACAGCTACATGCAAAAAAATGAAGCTAGACTACCTACGTACACCATACACAAGAATAAACTCAACATGGATAAAAGACTTAAATGTGATTCGTGAATCCATAAAAATCCTAGAAGAAAATGCAGGCAACAAAATTTCAGACATCACACACAGCAGAATTTTCACTGATACCATGTCTAAGGCAAGAGATAAAAAGGAAAATATGAACACATGGGACTACACCAAACTCAAAAACTTCTGCACAGCAAAAGAAACAGCCATCAAAATGAAAAGGGAACCCACTATATGGGAGAGCATAATTGCCAACATCAGATAAGGGGTTAATTTCCAAAATATATAGAGTACTCATACAACTCAACAAAAGAAGAAAAAGAATTCACTTACAAAATGAATAAAGGACCTAAAGAAACACCTCTCCAAATAGGACATATGAATGGCCAAGAGGCATATGTAAAAATGCTAATTGTCACTAATCATTAGAGAGATGCAAATTAAAACAACAATGAAGTATTACCTCACACTTGTCGGAATGGCTGTCATCAACAAATCAGCAAACAACAAGTGCTAGCAAAGGTGTGAAGAAAAGAGGACTCTAGTACATTGCTGGTGGGAATGCAGCCACTGGTGCAGCCACTGTGGAAAACAATATGGTGTTACCTCAAAAAGTTAAAAATTGAACTGCCATTTGACCCAGTGATCCCACTTCTAGGAATATACCCTAAGAAGCCTGAAACACCAATCAGAAAGAATATATGTATCCCCATGTTCATATTTACAATAGCTAAGATCTGGAAACAGCCCAAGTGTCCATCAATAGATGAATGGATAAAACAGGTGTGGTACATATACACAATGGAATACTATGCAGATGTAAGAAAAAAAATCTCTTTTCCTTTGAGACGACATGGAGGGACCTGGACAGTATTATCCCAAGCGAAACAAGCCAATCAGAGAAAGGCAAATATCACATGATCTCACTTATTTGTGGAATATAATGAACAAAACAAGCTGATGAACAAAATAGACCCAGAGTCATAGAAGTAGGGTACAGACTGACAAACCTCAGAAGAGGGGGTCAGTGGGGAAGGGAGGAGATAAACCGCAGAACTTACATGCATGTATGCGTAACCATGGACATAGACAACAATGCTGGGGGGTGGGTGATCAAGAGGAACATGTCAATGGGGGAAATAGAAAAACATCTCTAACAAAAATAAATTAATAAAAAAACAAAAAGAAACCCCTCCCAAAACCTTTACATATAACAAACCAAAAACTGGGGTAATGATATAAAACTTAGATTTTCAGGAAAGCAGTAATGATTACTGAAAAAGTTTTGATAACCAAGTCAAGATCCTGAGCCAGATGCCAGAAGATGAAAGTAGAGTGGCCACATCAGGGGAACGACCCTACATTCAGAAGACCTGGCCAGCAGGCGAGGACTGCAGAGACATGGTAACTGGCCTTGGGGAGCCTGCTCCGGAGCCTCTCTTCTTGCCTATCACTTAACATTGACTGATTCCTTGAGAGACATAGAGAACATGCAGTACCAAAGGGCTTTTGGTCACCTTACTGTCCCCCTAAAGACACAATGTTATTAGACTCTCCCTTTGCTTAGGGAACCTCCTCTTCTCAGGAGGCTGGGTGCTTGCAAAGAGCATGTATTTCTCAAAGTTCCTTAAGTGAGCTGGAGAGACGTGGTATAAACTAAGGAATGTGTGTTAAATGCTCCATAGGGCTACATATGTCCCATACAAAAATTCAATTCCTAATATTTATGATTTCTTTTAACACTGATACAAATGTTCCCCAAATCTTCAATATAATTCTTATTGTTGTCTTCAACAATAAGTTTATCCCTATCCCATGAAAATCTCTCCTCTGTGAGAAGCTTTATTCATCCTTTAGAATACCTTATTTGTCCACCCTTAAATTCCTGCTAGATTCCAAGCACCAATTTTTCACAGCTCTGACATAAGACAATAGAGAGTAATTCTCAGGAGCCCATCACAGAGTGACCGACATTCTTCTTTAGTAACAAGAAAAGGTTGCCTTTAAAAGAAAAGTCTAAAGTCATCAAAACAATGTAACATCCTGTGTGAACAAATGTCTGTGGTTGGCGTACATGTGGTTTGGTCAGGCGCTCAGAGAGAAGTAAGTCAGAGGTGGCCGTGGATGGCAGAGGTTTTCAGGCCTTGGCAAGAACATCTTCAGCCCACCTCACACTTTGGGATCCTTGGGGAGGAGGGGCTGCAGCCCTGACCTACCATTAGCACAATGATCCTCAGGCTGCTCCTGGCTCTCAGCTTCTTTCCCCCAATTCAAGTAGCAGGTAAACAATTTTTATTTCTTTCCTTCTCTGAGTTTTACTTTTGAGGACTTCATTTGGCTTGGTTCATTTTAAATTTCAAGCAACATGTGAAATTTGGGTATTTGAAGTATAGTTTTGCTATAAAATGGCAACCTATTATTTAGAAGCTCACTGATTCTCAGACTACACTATAATATTTTAATTAACTTTTTGGGGAATTAAATATAATTTATTTAACTACTAGTTGAATAAATATATAAATAAATAAATAATTTTTTTAATATAAGAAAATGTATATATATATTTTTAATTTAAGAAAACTACTATAAGTAGCTTGGTTCTGAAAGCTCTGAAATTGATCGTCTGTGTTCATGTCACAGATCCATTTCTTACTAGCTAAGCTTAGGCTAGTGCTCAAGCTCTCTAAGCCTCAGCTTCCTTATGTGTAAAAAGGGGATAATAATAACCTCATCTCAAGGTCATTGTGAGGAGAAAATAAAATAATCATTGTAAAATGCGTAGTATAGTCAGTGCTTGGCTAGTAAGGTGTTATTTGTAATTACTATGTCTACCAGAATTGAATGAGTATCAAAATGAATCCTGGAGTCATCACAAACTGGCATAATATAAATGCTAATAAATTAGTTTTTTTTCCCCCCCGATTGGCTGAAATCCATTTTCTTATATTAAAATCCTTTAAATTCCCAAAGATGATGATGAGAAAGATGATATGCCTAACACTATGACTGTTATGCTATCCCACCAACATGATGCAGTTTATAATTTCATAGCTCCAGATGCATCCGGGATCAAATCATCCTTAGAAAAACTGCAATTCCAAACAGAACAAACTTGTTGCTTGGTGGGCTAGAGTAAAATGTTTGTTCAACTTGTTCTCAGAATTAGAAAAAGGTCCTGTTTGGCTCAAAAATTGGACTGATAGGGGTTGATAGGATATTTAAATATAGTTATTTCTTTCCCTTGAAGACACATTGAAAACCCAGCATCTTCAATTTTCTTTCTCATTTATTTTGGTGTGCGAAGACTGCATTATTTGTTGTTCTTAAACATTATGTGCATGTGTCCCAAAGGGTATAATTTCCCAATCTGTATAAGTACAATAGTTACGTATATACCTATTTTACTGTCTGATGTGCCAGTGAGAACATTTAAAAATTGTATGTATTCGTAAAAGATGTTCATATCATGAAAGACATGAGCTGGTAATGAGATAGGTTTTGCACAGTATCTAGTACCAAGTAATAGTACCAAGCCTTTAGATCTACTAAACTCATTTAAAAAAATCTTTAAATTTATTTTTAAAAAGGTCTTTAAACTCTATTTTCAAGGAATCTGTAAAATTTATTTTTAAATAATATTTAAAATTTCTTAATTTATCAGACAGTGAAGAATAGGCAGAAAGGAAGGAGAAGCCTCATGCTGACAGAAAACTAAAATTGGTAATTGTACACAAAATATGTTTCTGATGTGCTTTGTGGACAACCGTCTGTCATCAGTTCTTTCACTGTCCTTTGAAGATATTTTTTGTAAGACTCAAAGCTTTTCATTTTTTCTTTAGAACATCTGTTAAAAGGGGAGTGGGTAGCTAAAAAAGCAGTTAGAGGATTCACATACTCAGAACCTTTGTTTTCAACTTTAAAATGTCAATGGGGGAAAATAGGAGGGACATCTGTAATACTTTCAACAATAAAGATATATCAAAATAAAATAAAATAAAATACATCTACTTTTCGAACACCAAATCACCCGCTTAATAACTTTTCAGATTTGATGCTGAGTGGTCATCCAATGAAGCAGGAAAGGGATTGGGATAGAGAGGGCACTTTTGAAATGCTTCTTCCAATAAGAAAACTTAATGAGAAAACAATGACAGCACACACAAATGCATGACTCATTCTAATTAATGGTGCAAAACCTTCCATGTGCTCTTTGTTTCTCTATATTTACTCTGTATGAAGAAATTAGAAAGGTAAGATAATTCTCTGGTCAAAGTATAATTGTGAGAGACTACTGGTGAGTTGTGTTGAAGTGTGTGTGTGTGTGTGTGTGTGTGTGTGTGTAAAGAATGGAAGAAAGGTTCTTTTTTCCACTAATTTAATAATCCAACTGATTGGTTCACAGCATAGCTTAAGATACTTATTCTAAGAAGGTTACACCTATCCTGATTCTTCATGATTTTAATGACACTCTAGAAAGATCTTTTTGGCTAAATTAAAGAAGCATGACTTAGAAATTGTGAGGAAACCTTAACTTAGAAAATTCCTTTACTAAAGTTACATGTTTTCTACCAGATTTGGGTAACTGTGCAATTGAGATCCATGACAGAGCATTTTGTTGGACTTTGGAATATGAGTCTAGCTCAGAATGGCAAGCCCTTGAAAGGGACCTGACTTGCGATTGATGACAGAACATGGTATTGTTCATAGATCTGCAGCCAATATTGGTTATTTTTCAGAAAGCTAACAGTTCAGTATGAAGACAAAATCAGGATGACGCCACTTATGTTGAAAATAAGTGAAAACACTTATTTTCCCCAAACGTTAGCAAATAAACAGTCAAAATGGCTAGTTTGGACAGAATTGATTTCTAAAAAGCTGCATTTCCCTCAGTATTTCTTTTTCTGAGAAAGGCATGGAAGACACAAAAATGGTATTTGATCATTTAAATAATCAGCAAAACAAAGTAATTAAAAACTTTATATTTAGCTCAGCAAATGACCCTTCTGAGGTAGTGGTACACCAAAGGAAATAATTTACCTCTCATAGGAATGTGTTGCTCTGAGGCTGGACTTGGGAAAGTAAGGTAAAAAGATGAACACGAAAAATGTAATGTAATTAGCAAATTGCTGTATGTATATGCCATTCATTATACTGTAGCCAGTTTTTCTGACTGTTGAAAATTGATCGGGTGTTTTTGTCATTTCAAGTAAATTTGACGGACATTTCAAGAGTATAGACTTTGTTTAAGAATTTTGTTGTACTCTACTACCATATCCTATAGTAGGATACTATTTTTTTTTTTGGTAAGGTAACCATCCAGAAAGAACTTTTACAGCAAGGACTGTAATATTAATATCAATATGTCAATATCAGGAAATAGAATGAATCATTTTCACAGATAGATTAACAATAGAAATGAATTTGTTATCCTACCTTTGAAGCTTTCACATTCAAACCTTTACTATGGGTGGGTAGGGGATCTCACTGTCTCTCTTTCTTTGAACATAGACTGTCCTCCTTCTTAATGTCTTTACTCTATTTTCATGAGTATAGAAATTCCATATGACTACCATTTAGCTTTTGTCATGTGTGAGTATTTTCCTCCAAGTATTTCCTGCATGCAGTGTACACTAAATTCCACTCAGTCTGGTTACTGCAAGAGGTAGTGTGGGGAACACTACCATCCTATCCATCCTAACCAAGTTCCATGAGCTAAAATGTTCAGCACTGTCTACTGACATCTTTTCTTTTTAAAGAGGGAGGAAAGAATGCATACAAGCAGTGCATGGTGCGGTGGACTCATTGGGCAGCCATTGTCCTGGCCCCTAAAGCTTTCATGGCTAGTCCCAGGAAGTAAGCAATGCCTCCCCAAATACCAGCCCTCAAAGCTCACAAGGCCTTAAGAAAAGCAAAAGCACCCACCCCAATCCAACAAACTATTTGCATAGCAAAGCAGAGCCTGTGGGCCTGGGGAGGGAGTGACCTGTGGTGATGCTTATGCTCTCCTCTCCCAGGTACTAAAGGGGTATGATTTGCCAGGCAGGGTGAGGCCCTCACAGTCATCACTAGAGAAACACACACACACACACACACACACACACACACACACACACACACACACAACAAAAGAAACAAACAAACAAAAAAATGGAGTCCCTTTCCTCATCGTTTTGAATTTCAGCACATCTATGTGTGGCAAAAGCCTCATGAAACTTCACCATCAGCACCATTCTTAACTCTGATAAGCAGAAATAAGGTAATTTATAATACCTTGGGTTTGTCCCCGCTGACTACCCCCTCTGCCTATCACTTTTTTTTTTGGTTCTTACTAATTTCGGATGCTCTCCTTTAAAACAATAATGACCGAAAAAAGGAGAAATGATGATTATAAAACATTATCCACAGAGGCATAAGACAAAGCAAAAAGTGCATGAGAGCACACATAATAAAGACAGAATACCCTCACCAGCACAGGGAAGAACACAGGTTACTTTAGGATGACCAGGGCACACTGTTACCAAGGCTTCCCTGCGTGTTGGCTTAGGACAACACAAAGGGTGTCAGAGCCTGGAGAGGGGTGGCATGAGGAATGGGAAGGGTCGAGACATGAGGTTCGTGCTTGAGGCTGTGAAAAGAAAAGTCCTGTCAGAGACCTAAAGACGCTGAGGAACATGTCATCCCCGCTCTACCTGGAGGCGCTGGGCGTGGACGTTCCCAGCATCATCCAGGCTGGAGCGGGTGGAGCGGGTGGGGCTGGAGCAGGAGGCGGAGGGATTCCATCTACCGCTGCTGCGGAGGGAGATACCTGCCCTTAAGGAGTGGGAGGTTGACCTGGGGTCCCAAGATATTTCCCGGCACTGACAGCACACCAGGAAGGGCGTGGATGTTGGCTGCAACGGTGGGAGTCTTGCAGCCTGACTTGTGCTGCTTGGGTATTATTAAAGCTGGACTTGGCTGGGGCAGGTGGGGCGGTAGCATCCTATACTGCATCAGAGGGGAGAGAGGGGGCTGCTGGCGAGGCAGTGTGTTCTTCTGTGGCGGCCAGGGTTTGGCTGAAGCTGAGCAAGAACAGGTGGCTAAGTTTCCTTTAGAAATGTTATGCTCCACTTCCTTGTTCCCAGTATCACTTTGTCTTTCCAAGTATCAGTGGGTTCCTCGCTCGCCTCAGTTCCCTTTTCTTCTGATTTGGTATCCTCACTAATTTTGAAATACTTTTTCTTCTCACTGTTTTTTTCATTGTCTCAGTCTTGTGCTTTATCACCTTTATCCATTTCATTTTCT